ATATCAGGGTGTGGCTGATACTTGTGCCAGCTGCTGTATCCTAAAAGCCCAGGTGATCCCATCTGCAGCCAGATTTTATGATCCTGTGGGGTGACCTGAGCTTACCCCTCCCTGCACCGTCTTGATTCTAGAATGTATCTTCCTGTAGCGTTAGCCCCGTGGAGATGGAGGGAAATGCCGGCGTGGGTTCCAGTAGACAGAAGCATGTCTTAGTGCAGCGGTTCTCAACCTGTGGGTCTCGACCCCTTTGTGGGTCAAACGACTCTTTCACAGGGGTTGACTAAGACCATCGGAAAACACATATTTCCGATGGTTTTAGGAATCCGGGACACCGCTTCTCTATCCATCTCCAGGCGGGTCCGCCCACATACTGATACGAACACATACAAGTACCTGGTGTGATGACATCATCGCGCCAACCCCATCACATACACCCCATACAAATACAGGTGTATGTGACAGGGTTGGCACCATAATGTACTTATGCGGAGCAGTAACACGTGTAGAGACCAGCTACTGTGTTGAAAGCAGCAGTGTTGGAGGTAAAACGACACTTCATGAATTATAATGACTGAATAAGTGTAAAATCATGTACTGTAAAATCATCAACTACTGCAAAAAAAACTCTGTACCATGGGACCTTAATCTGGATGCTGATCAATCTTTTTATATTCAGCTGTGGTTATGTTCAGTTTGTAACAATGAAAATACATCCTGCATATCAGAAATTTACATGACGATTCATCACAGTAGCAAAATGACAGTGATGAAGTAGCAACGAAAATAATTTTATGGTTAGGGGTCACCACCACATGAGGAACTGTCTTAAAGAGTTGAGACAGGAAGAAGGTTGAGAACCACTGCCTTAGTGTCTCATCAGGTACTTTCCCAAAGACCAGGGAGGCTGCCTGAGGAGGTCACTGCCCCTGGGGAAGCTGGAGGGTCAGTGCAGGGGAGGCAGCGCTAGGTGGAGGCCTCTGTTCTCTGAGCCTGGACTCCTCCTCTCATGTCTCTTCCCTGCCTATGCTGCCATATTGCCAGAGTGGATATTCTGTGAAGGCAGGGCCCATAGTGTCCCTTCCCCTGGAGGCAGGTTTAAGGAAGTCTTCGAGGTGAGAGGCTGATGTACAGGGCAGGTGAGGGGTGGCCTTGGAGGTTGTGTGGCCAGGCTTGCTATCTGTACCCTTGGGAGCTTCTGGGGTTATATCAAGACTCTGTTCTTGGGTGCTTAGCAAAGAAGTAGAGGCTCTCATGACTTTGGACAAATGGTGGGTTCCCAGTGACAGCTGCATTGTGTGTGGAAGAGGGCTGGAAGCCTCACGTGCCTTCAGTTGTGGGGGGTTAGGGTGAGGGTATGTCCTTCATTAATCTTTCTTGTGGGACCTTGGCCCCTCATTCAGGAGCTGGGGACTCTGCTCCTCCCCAGAGAGGGGCTTGTGGGGCTGTGACTGTTCCCCCACCTCAAATCGGGGCTACTGAGTAGGTTCGTCTGTGTATTGGACAGGTGTGATGGAAACACATCAGGGGTACCCTTGCCAGGCTGAGTCTAAAAGGAACTCCTGGGAGGCCTGGGCCCCTCTCTGCCAGCCCAGGGTCTGATGGGGTAGAGGGAGGCTGCCGTGGTCACTGGTTTCTCTACTGGCCTCTGGGCCCCTGACTTCTGTGAGATCTGGGCCCACAGCTGCTCCCTGCTTCCCCTCCCCCCTGGGGCCTGGGCTCTCCTAGCAGGCACGTGAAAACGAATCTGCCCTCAAATGCCTGCCAGGGACACTGGGTGGCTTGGGTGCCAGGACAGAAGGGAAGTGGTGCTATGCCTTGGAGCCCAAAGGTAGCTGGGTGGGTTGGCCCGGCCCCTGGGCATGGGGAAGGCTAACTGGTGTCCCCAGGCAGTGTTGCCCACACGGCCTCAGGTCCAGGCTCTGGGCCTCCCCCCCCCAGGACTCCTCACCCTTGGGCGGGTGTGGTTTACTCTTGCTCTGAGCTCCACGAGGCAAGTTCCCGGCACACACCCGTCTCTGTGGAGACCAGGCTTCTGAGAGGGTGATGTGTAGCAGCCCTGTTCTTAACCTGGTGACCTGAAAAGGACTACCGTACATACTCGAGTGTAAGCGGACCTGAACATCAGCCGAGGCACCTAATCTTACCACAAAAACTGCATTACAAATGTATGTGCTGGGGGGAAAAACGGGATGGAAAATCTCGGCTTCCACACAAGTATATATGGTAACTCCTGGGCAGCAGCCAGTCCGCTTGGCTGCAGATTCCTTTCTCCAAACTTAAGGTGGGACTGGGGGATTGGAGTGGGGAGGGGAGGGCGGGAGGAGGGCCTGCGAAGTGTAGGGTGCTGGAAGGTGCTGATTTTTGGAGGACAGAGGACAGGCTGGGTCTTCCCTACGTGTGTTGATGGACTGGCTGAACTGTTGGACAAAGGTGTGTGTGTGCATTGCACACAAGCGATTGAGCACATGTGTGTGTGAGAGACATGGGGGAAGGGAGAGAGAGAAATCCATCTGCTATTGGATGCCTGCCAACACTGGATCTGTGCATAAGAGAAGCTGTAGAGAAGCCTTCCCGCTTGGACTGCGTGGTTAAGACTCCTGAGCCCTGTTCTGGGAGAATCAATCTCTTTTGCAACCCCAGATGGTAGTAGGGAGGGGAGAAGGAAAGCAAAAAAAGCAAAAGCCAGGGGCAAATGAGCTATAGATCGCGCCCCCCCCCCCATGCTCCATCTCATCTTGTTATGTAATCCCTTTGTTCTGAGCCCTTGGGAAAAGCGTGGACTGGGTGTCTTAAAGAGAATGGAGGGGGTCATATCTGACCACCTTCTGGCTTCCCTGGGGCCATGAGGCAGGGGTCCGGCATGCCTTCCTTCAGGCTTCCTCCTCCCCTGCCCTCTGGCTCTGATACCACTGCTTCTGTGTGAGGCCTGATTATTTGTCCCCTGGCCACACACCACTCACAGGAGGTCATCACTGTGACGGGGTTTTATTAAGGCAGTAAGTAGGCTGCATCAGTAAACAGTGAGGGGACAGTCACTGGCCACAGCAACACCTCTCCTCAGCTCACAGCCACGTCTCTCTCTGGTCCTCAGCCTCTCAGCCACTTGGTCCCTTGGTCTCTGCCTCTGTTGGACCAGGAAGCCAGCCTGCCCCTGCCCCACAGTGTCCGCCTCTCAGAGCCACTCCTCCGCCCTGTCTCCTGGTCTCCTAGCCTCAGCCTCTGGTCTCAGGCTGGCTCCTTGACTCTGTCCCATGGCCTCTGGTGCTTCGGGTCAGCAGTCTCTGCCACTTCAGACAGAGACCTTGAACTTGCCCTTCTTCCTGTGGCCCTGGGGTTTTTCTCTCCTCCTGCATCAAGGATGACTCATCTTTCTGTCCATGGGGGTGGTAACAAAAAAACCCCCAAAACAACGGATGAGTTAGTTAATTGTGCCAACCTGGCCGATAAACACATGTGGGATTAATTGAATGGCGGAGCGATAAATGGCTCAGTGAGCCTCACCTTTCTAGTTCTCGGGTCTCTTGCTTTGTGATGGTCACACCAGGGTGCAGCTGCCTTAGCAGTTCCCTGCTTCAGCTTGCAAAGCTGACTTCCTGCAAGACATCCCCAAGGAGAAGCCACATGAACTTATCCCGATGCAGCCCTGGGTGCTGGAGCAGCTGTGTGGAGGAGACCCCTGCCAGTGCTGAGATGTTTACACATTTACTGACTCATCTTTTCTCCTGCAGTTGGCATTATTGCCTCTGTTTTGTGAGATGGAGGAGGACTTTGTGGATTGGTGTTGGACATATGGGTTAATGGGTTAATGTTGGACTTCTGGGCTTGGGCAGCATTGGCTTGGGATATTTTCTTGATGCACACTTAATCTTTACATAAAACTCTCTCTTATACATGAGTTGCTGTGGATTTGTTTCTCTAAAGTACCCAGACTAATACAATGGACCAATCCCCTCTGTTAATGTCATGCATGCTGTGCTTGCGTGACAGACACACAGATGACAGACACACAGATAGAAGAGGCAGATGAAAAAAATTCACTCCACCACCGGCCACCCTCTGACCCCTCTAGCCATTGCCCATTTCCCACGTGAAAAATTAACTTCCTCTCTTTCAGGTACACCTTCTACAGCCACGGTTTAACAATCACCATGAACCCCGTTGATAGTCACCCATGACCCATGTGATCTGATCAATGTATTCCCCCACCCTCTCTTGCCCAGACTCATCAGAAAGAGAGCAGATTATTCGTGGGGGAGCAGCAGGGTGGGAGGGAGGGGGGTGTGGTGGACACAGTCTTGCCTTGTGGGTAGTGTCTCCCCATGATGGCCCTCTCCTAGCTCCAGTCTCCACCACGGTGATGCCATCCAACCTTGTCTTGATATCTTCCTAGCCCATCCCACCAGCTGCCCACATCCTTTGTGGGCCGGGGGTGGCCGCACCATCTCTCCACACGGGGCTGGACATTGCAGACTCTCCTGGCCTACGTCGGGTGGAGGTGGGTGAGCAAGATCACTTGGTGTGGATGGCAGGCAGGCCAGGCTGGGCACTGGACGCAGGGATGCAGGTCCTCTCTGCAGGTCTAGTTTGTGGTTTTGAATCTAGTTAAACAGACCTACATCTCAGGGGACAATCTAGGCAATGGACCGACCTGCTGCTGACCCTGCTTTGAGCAACAAGCCCCCACCTCTTCAGTGGATGTAGCGATCCCCTGGTGTCTGAGTGCTCCCACGGATGTAGCGATCCCCTTGTGCCTGAGTGCTCCTGGTGGTGCCTTCCTTAGACACCGGTGGGGCCTTGTTTCTGCTTCCCTGTGCTCTGAGGTGGGAATGGGGCCGGCCCAGGTGTGATCCCGGCTGTGTTGTGCAAGGCGTTGCTGTTCCGACGCAGGAGGTGGGCAGAAATGGGCTAAGTCTTCCTGGAAGTCATCCAACTGCACCGGTCTAAACCAGAGAGCCTTCCCCACTCCTGCCCGAGACTAATGTGTGTGTCTTCTTTGCCAGGACGTGGTAAACACAGGTGTGCGGGAACCGTCGGCCATGGAGGCTGGGGAGCTGAGGAACTGCATGCCCAACTACCGTCTCATCCCGGAGACCAGCCAGACCCAGGTGGAAGAAGATGTCAGCACGCCCCCTGAAAAGCCCCAGGAGGCAATGCAGCTGAAGAAGGAGATCTCCCTGCTGAATGGGATCAGCCTGGTGGTGGGCAACATGATTGGCTCAGGGATCTTTGTCTCTCCCAAGGGGGTGCTGGTCTACACTGCCTCCTATGGGCTGTCACTGGTGGTCTGGGCCATTGGCGGACTCTTCTCCGTCGTCGGTGCCCTCTGCTATGCAGAACTGGGTACCACCATCACCAAGTCGGGGGCCAGCTACGCCTATATTCTGGAAGCCTTTGGGGGCTTCATTGCCTTCATCCGCCTGTGGGCCTCATTGCTCATCGTCGAGCCCACCAGCCAGGCCATCATCGCCATCACCTTTGCCAACTACATCATCCAGCCCTCCTTCCCCTCCTGCAATCCCCCTTACGTAGCCTGCCGGCTCATCGCTGCTGCCTGCATCTGTAAGTGTGGGAACCTCACAGGGGTGGGGTGACTGTAAACACCGTCCCGGACTTTGTATTTGAACCATAAGTCTTCCTTCTGCAGGGGGCGGGGGGTGGGGTGGGGGTGGCATGTCTGACCTTTTGAAAAAGGGGTTTCACCCAAGTCACTGGATCCTGAGAGCTGAGAGAAAGGGCAAGGGATGGGGGTAGAGGGCTGCGGAATTGACTGTGGGGGCCGCTGGCACCTCACATTCCTGGCTGGCCCCCCGAGTCCTGCCCTCCTGCATGTCTTACATATCTCTTGTCCAGTTTTGATTGGAGCCACTGTTGCTTCGGCAACATAACCCGGGTAGGGGGTGGGGTGGGGTGGTGGCCGCTCTCAGATCCTGAAGCCTTTATTCTGCTGCTCAGAAGAGAGAGACTTGTTTCCATTGCTGTCTTCTTTTTAAACCACTTCAAAGGCATCAGTGAGGAAAGCAGTTCTCTCTCTCTCTCTCTCTCTCTCTGCTTCCTGGCAGGGCCGCCCTCCACAGCCCATTGTAGGCAGCTGGCCCCTGCACCATTGCAACTCTTCCGCATTGGCGTTGTGAAATTTCTTTACCCTGATCTGGTTAACAAGCGTCGTCTGCCGCCAGTGAGAAGAAGGTGGCTTCTACCGCGATGTAGGATTCTGGGGACAGAACCTGGGAGATCCCAGCAGGCCCCTGCATTATTTCACTTTTTATCCTAAGTGGTGGTGAGGACTGGACTCTCTGAGGTCACAGAAAGTGGGCAGAAGATGGTTGTGACCCTGTGTTAGCTGAGGAGTGGCCCAGAATCCCCAGCCGCTTGATTAGGGCTACCTTCTGCCCTTAGCTCTGTTTGCAGATGTTGGCAATATGTGTAGTTTGTCCAGTGTTCAAAATAGACTGAGTACAGTTGGTGGAAGGATTATACCGTACCCTGGGCCTCATGTGGTGCACCAGTTTCCCCACCCCAAGTCCCAGGAAGAACGAGAAGTTGTTGTTTCAGAAGGTACACCAGCTAGGAGACCACAGCCGTGCGAGACAGCCTGTCTCTGTGATGTCCCGCTTGAAATCAGAATACACATGGAATATCCTACTCTTTTCCTTCGGGATTTACCCTTGGGGAGTCCCAGAGGTGTTTGACTTTGACTCGGGTTTCAGGGTAACTGCAGGAAACAACTGCTCACCGCAGTGAGCAAACAGAACAGACAGGTTCCTTTCCTCTTGGGCCTATCTCAGAATGGCTCTGTGGACGGGCTGTCCCTCACCAGCAGTCGGGGCAATCAGATGAGATTCTTGGCACCATCGGGCCCTTTCAGGTAATGTGCACATCCGGCCCGTCTGCCTTTGCGCCATGTTGGGAGGTAAACATTCTAGAAACTGCATGAAGTAAAGTATCATAAGCTAACTGGATTTTGTAAGGGGGATTTTCCTACCTACATTCAGTAAAATAACTTGAGTCACATGATCTGTAAGGAATTTGCTGAAGACAAATGTTGCAATGGGCCCCTTCACACTGCCTGGGGTGGTGGTGGTGGGCAACTGTTGGGGGAGGGGAAGGCGTGCTCTGGTAGGGGTCAGACAAAGTGTCACCAGAGAGACTCTGCTCTGAGACAGCATTTTCTGATGATACAAGCACACGTGTCCAGTAAGAAGCAAATCAAGTGACCTTCAAATCACTATCATTTAACCCCAAGACACAAGCACTTTAAAATTGTTTGCTATGGTAAATAAGCGGCCATCTAGCTCAGAAGCAACAAAACCCACATGGAAGAAGCACACCAGCCTGTGCGATCACAAGGTGTCGAAGTGATAAGGTATCAGCCATCATCAGAACAAAAAATCATATCAGTGAATGAGGGGGTCAGTGTGGAGTGGAGACCCAAAGCCCATTTGTAGGCTACTGGACATCCCCTTACAGAAGAGTCTCAGGGAGATGAGCCAGTCAGGGTGCGATGTAGCAACAATGAAACATACAACTTTCCTCTAGTTCCTAAATGATTCTCCTCCCCATCTCCACTATCATGATCCCAATTCTACCTTACAAATATGGCTAGACCAGAGGATGGATGTACACTGGTACAGACAGGAACAGGAAACACAGGGAATCCAGGGCGGATGATCACTTCAGGACCACTGAGTGGTATGAGTGGTGATACTGGGAGGGTGAAGGGTGGGTGGGTTGGAAAGGGGGAACCAATTACAAGGATCTACATCTGACCTCCTCCCTGGTGGACGGACAACAGAAAAGTGGGTGAAGGGAGACATCGGACAGGGCAAGATATGACAAAATAATAATGTATACATTATCAAGGGTTCATGAGGGAGTGGGGAGCGGGGAGGGAGGGGAAAAATGAGGAGCTGATGCCAGGGGCTTAGGTGGAGAGCAAAGTTTTTGAGAACGATGAGGGCAATGAATGTACAAATGCGCTTTATACAATTGATGTATGTATGGTTTGTGATAAGAGTTGTGTGAGCCCCTAATAAAACGCTTAAAAAAAACCCCAAAAAACCATTTGGTGGTGCCCCAGTAGCTTTCTTCTCTGCAACCAAGCTCAGACCTTAAAGATACTTTCAGGGTCTGCTTTTAAAACCTAATGTGTTAGGAGTTCCCCCTTCACTCCCCCATTTCACCAAGCAGTCTCTCAAACCAGCATATTCAAGACCAGTATTTGGTTTGTAAAAAGGAATTCATGGGCTTTACAGACAACTGGAAGGAGGCAGAGACTTGAGAAAGAAAAAAAAAAAGAAACCAAGTGTCCACGGAGGCATGTGGTTTGTCTCTCCCAGCACGCGGGGACCCTGTTAGGCGTAGGTCGTTTTTGGGCAGCTCTGCACTGTGCAGAGATCACGGCTCCGATGCTGTCTGGTTGGAGTCCCAGTTTGAGCAGTTACTAGCTGCTGACCCTGAGGAAGCCGCCAGCCGCTGTCCACTTTGTAACATGGTTATATTGATTGTGTCTGTCTGATGAGATGGTTGTGGAGAATGAGGGAAGCACTGTGTGTCTTGTGTTTTCCTCTGCCTAGCATGCTTCGTTAGTGCTCTGTAGTGGTAGGTAGCATCGTTGGTGCTCTGTAGTGGTAGCATCGTTGGTGCTCTGTAGTGGTAGCATCGTTGGTGCTCTGTAGTGCTAGCATCGTTGGTGCTCTGTAGTGCTAGCATCGTTGGTGCTCTGTAGTGGTAAGTAGCTTCGTTGGTGCTCTGTAGTGGTAGGTAGCATCGTTAGTGCTCTGTAGTGGTAGGTAGCATCGTTGGTGCTCTGTAGTGGTAGCATCGTTGGTGCTCTGTAGTGATAGGTAGCATCGTTGGTGCTCTGTAGT